AGAGTTTTCAGGGAGATGAGCAAAGAGAACTAGCAATTAAAACCTCAAAAGGTGAGGCAGAAGAGACTGCACCTACATATGTGCTTTTTGCTTTGTGTTTTGCTACTTGCAAGGTGCTTGAGATGCTTTGAGAAAGGACAGCTTTGGCCCTGGCTGACAAGGCTCCAGATGAAGTCTGGTGGCTGTGCGCTGCAAGAAGCACTGCATTGCAGTGCTGGAACAAGGCTTGTTCTTGCAGGGCGTAGGTGTTTGGCATGCTGTCCTGTGTTTGTCAGTCCATTGTTAGTGATACCACAGCTGTCTCCATGGTGAAAGGAAGTCCCAATTCCTCAACTTCATGCTTCTGGAGTTCCAGATAGTGACCTCCATAATTCCCCCATTAGATTCTCATGACTAGTTCTGCAGATTGAGATCTACAGAATCCATTTTTCCCATACACAGTTCAGAGATCCTATGACCAAATCCAAGGGCGTTCATATTAAGGTCATTTGGCAACTTGCATAACTAGAGGTGGTTTCCTGGCAGTGTCCTACCCATAAATGCCCCCCCCACCCAGGGATGGGAAGGTACAGAATCACAATAAGAAGAATAATAAGCATGCATGGTTAACCAGGTATGGTTCAAAGGGCGGTATTTCTTTTCCTAGCAAAAGGCTTAATTGCCTGGAAGCTGCCCACAGGAGAGCAGGGGCAGTGCTAGAGAGAGTGTGAAGGAGGAAAGCTGGAAAAGGAACAAGCTGCAGAGCAAGAATAGGCTCAGTTCCTAAGCACTGGCTCAATCCATAACTGCGTTTTGGTTAGAACATCTCGATTTCACTAAAGTCTCTGGTTCTTTCCAAAACAGATAAAATACTTTGCAGTTGCATTGGCAATGTTGTTAGGATCTGAGAAGTCAAGGATGGTCCTGAGGAACAGCTAATGAATCCAGTTCAAATAAGCCTAAATTTCTTTTCCCCTGTGGACCTCAAAAGCAGTATTTAAATGCATCAAACAATAGTGAGCTGATGAATCAATCTCAATACACAAAGGCTCTTTCTAGGCAGCAGGCAAAAGGCTTAATGAATACAGAGTAAGAAACAAATCCAATGATTTTAATCCCAGAAGAAATACATTGAAGCTGGTGGGGGAAGAGCCATGATGCTGGTGAGAGGTTTTTCTATTGGTAGTGGAGAGCCCGTGTTGTTGGTACGTGGTCCCCACAGTGTCTGAGCTTGAAACCTTTTTCTTGCAGATCCGTTCTTGACTTCTGTGGGCGGGTGGTTTTGGGTTTGTTTCTGGTTTTTTTTTTTTTTTCCTTGAATGCTATTCATGTGACCCCCTTATCAATTGTTAAGGGCTCCTTCCAAAGGGCTGCTTGAATACTGCGTGGATGGTACCTACCAAAAGATGCTTAAACTCAGAACATTGTGTATCAAAGCACAGAAACGTTAAGACCAATTTACAAAAGCACTAAGAGGTAGCTTATTTGCTGTGCTCTGTCGTGGTATGCTTCAGCTGACTTCTTTTGGAATGTGGCATAAGAGCCAATTCTGTATCCCCTTACTTCCAGCCTGAGGTCGCATTGTACTTTCTCATGCTGCAGACACCATGACACTTCATACCTGTTACCTTTTCAAAGTTGTAGACCATAGAAGACTTTGTATGAGCTAAAGATTAACCATTATGTTCTAGGTAAAGGATTGCTCCTTTAAGACCACACTTGCCTGTTCCCTTACCTCTTATCTGTAACGTTCATGTTCAGTAGCTGTTAAGGAGGTGAGGATTTCACAGCATTGTTTGCTACTCTTGCATTTCTTAAAGCCAGGGCTAGTCTTACACCTTACTCTGACTTAAGTGACTTTTGAAAGCCTTATTTCATCTCATGCTGTCTAAACTATGTGTTTTCATACATTCAGGACATCACAAGACAAAATGCTCCTCAGGATATTTAAATTTATAGTATTTACTGAAGTGGCTTAGTGCACTAATTGTTGAAGTAGAACCCCTACTGCATTCATTAAGCAAACCTTTGATAGACATTCATAAAGAGCCAACACTATATTGACAACTGCTTGAATGGTTAATCAAGATAAATGTGACTTGCATCATAAGGGGTGATTGAACTTCACCCATTCACAGGGAGAGATACAAAACCACGGAATATGCAGGCATTTTCTCGGTGGGTGCTCTTGATCAAAATAAAATACTCCTACACAAATGAAATGCAAGGGTTCAGATTCTTTGTTGGCAGTAATAATCATGGTAGAATGAATAGCTGTTTCTCCTTTAGTTATCAAGCCTCTGACCCTTAGGCATATGGAGGTTCAAATATTCCCTATGGTCATTGTTTTTATCTATGTGAGTCTTCAAAAAGAAACAAACCCTACTCCCTACCCGCAAACAAAAAAAGACAAAAAAATCCCACAAAAATCCCCCTCCAAACCTTAGAGGTTAAGCGTTCGAGGAATTAAGCAATACTCTCCATCTTACTCAGAACTGTTCTTTGGGATTAGTAAAGAGTAGATCATAGTAAAAACCAGCCGTGTTTGCTTTACTCTTTAAAATCTCTGAGCTGCTGCTGTTCAGAATGGTAGAAGTCTTCAAGAGGGAATTTTAGAAAGGTTATCAAACGTGGGGAAAAGAGGGAGACTCTCCATGAGTATCTTTGCAGAAGGAGAAGCTGTGGTTTGTGCATTGACAGACCCCAAAATATTTGCAGAGGAAAGTTATCTTAAGTTGTCCCAGGAGGACAAGTCTGAGTTGGGGCTTGTAATCAGGAAATAGAAGCGTAGGAAAACAATGTACATCCAGAATGAATTTCTTATTTCTTTCGGGCATCACTTTGATGGAGATCTCATCTCAGGTCTCACATAGAATCATGGAATTGTCCACATTGTCCAGTTTGGAAGGGTCCTTTCAGATCATCTAGTCCAACCATCAACCTAACTGATAAAAACCATCACCAAACCATGTCTCTAAGCACTAGGTCAACCTGGCTTTTCAATACCTCCAAGGATGGTGCCTCAAGCTCTTCCCTGGGCAGCCCAGTCCAATGTGCAATAACCCTTTCCGTGGAAACGTTTTTCCTAATCTCCAATCTGAACCTCCCCTGGGGCAACTTGAGGCCATAGCTTGACAATCTGGAGAAAGAACATTAAAGGAAAGAGCTGTTGGGAAGCTGACATACTTTTTTTTTTATTATTTGGTCTAAGTTCTCAATTACAGTGTTCTGTTTTCTCATCCGAGGCTGTAGATGCAGTGACTTGTTGGCAATATATTAATTTAAGCCCGTGACACCATCCACTTACATTTGCTAGTCTCTGTTCTAGTATGTAATAAAATTGTGGAAGTTTCCAAGTAAGTTGTACTAATGTGGAGCCAAGTTTTGTACCTCCTGTTTAAAAGTTGATATATTGTTCTAATGTCAAACTTCTTAAAATCTGCTTAATTATGCAGTTGCTTCAGATCCTAGATTGTATGGAGACCTTATTTGTCTAGTTTTCTGTGGAAACAAGGCTCATGGGATCCTGTGTGGGTGGGCCAGATATATGCAAATTTATCTTGGATTTTTTTTCCTCGAGTTGTCTGCTGTGGACAATTGTGACAGATAAGGATCTTAAGGAAACAGTTGTCCAAGAAAATGTGGTTCCAAGTTTTATGAAAACAAATAGCTAATAGAGGGGAGTAATTCTGTGCATGTCTTTGTGGGGGAAGATTTGCAGCGTGTGTCTTACTAGGAAAAATAAAAAGGAGGAAAAACTGTTCTGAAAGCCCAGGGTTCAGGAGGTCCCTCCTTTGCCATTTGCAGCTTCATGGGCAACAAATGGAGTTAACTGCAAGATGGGGAAATGCAGGTTCTGCTGTTCGTAACGAACTATTATAGGGAATTAAGAATGAAGTCTTGGAAGAGTATGCAGGATAGGGCTGAAAAAAAAAATGTGTCCTGACTTGTTAAAATAGTTCGGTTTAACTGATCATTTCTCATCATGTTTTTGTTTCTGTATTAGTGGATATTGTCCTCTCATCTAGTTTCTGTTCATAGATGGGAATTTCCTCACAATCCCAGTGGTGTTTTGAACTTCCTTTTGTTTTCTGATTTTTTTTTTTTTATTTTTTTTTGTGTGTTTTGTTTTAACATGAGTAAATGAAGAGAAATAAAACTTCCCTGACTTCACAAGCAGCTGGACAAATGGTGTGGTCTGAGCTGCTAAGGAGGACAGTATTAGCTTCGCTTACTTGTTTTCTTTGGGGAGTTTGGAAAACGATGTAATGACCTTAGTGGATGAGCCAAGTAGCCAGATTGAAGTAAGCTCTTAGCATCTGGGAAACTGCTTAAACCCTGGTTTGTTTTGTGCTGGGTTTTTTTTTTTTCCCAGTCTGTATTAGTACTTGTGTTTGGGGGCTTAGGTTTGCATTTTAAGTTGTTTGCTTTTTCTGAGCCTGGTAACTGCAGCCCACTCCCTTTTTTTTGTTGCTGTTAAGTCATTCTGTTTTAATTTCAGCAGTTTAGGGAGGAGGAGGTAATGCCTCCAGCCTTACTGTTACGTGCTTCAAAGGAATTTCAATTTTCAGTTAATACCGACTTAGGTCTCTAGAGGCATCTTTTAAAGAAAATGAGGGACAAAACTGCAGTCCTAATATATGATCCTGAGAGAGGGGACAAAAGAGCTGCTTCCAAATCCCTAGTCCTCATATTTATTTGAATTTTAATCATTTGTAGTTGAAAATAATAAAACATTGAATGTCTGATATTTATTTTCTGTCTAAGACAAGTACTGAGAAGTCTGAACTGCTCTGTATGCAAATATACTTGATCCATTCCAAACATATTCTGATAACTTTGTCTTAATGAAAGCTTTCAAGCGATTATCAGCTCTCTAATTGGAACTTTAATTTCTCTTTAGGTTAAAATATAGTTTTTTAGCATGCTTGCATATACATAAGTGTCTAATTTCTTTAAAATATATTCTAAAGATTTCTTTAGTGATCTGTTTTATACATCTAATGCTTTTGTTTCCACAGGTAGCGTTACTGGGATTAGATGTTTTAGGTGCCTTTGTCGACAGACTATCAGGACGCTTTAAATCCTATATAGGAACTGGTAAGTGAAATACAACTTCCTTTTTCTTAAGACCAAAGAACAAAAGGCACTCTTTTGTGTGTGTGTTGTCCATGTCCCCCCCTCCCCTCCCAGCAGCTGAAGTGGAGCATGTTGAAAGCTTTCTGAGCTATTAGAATATATTGGTAGGCATCTTACTGCTGCTGTTGCAATTTACATACTTCTATATTAACTTGTAAATATTCATTTCTAGGTGGTGGTTGGGATTTTTTAAAGGTTCCAGGAATATATTTGTGGTGATTAGTTTCGTGCTGTATAGTTACCAGTCCTATGCAATGTTCTTGCTTACCAATCTCCAAGACAGTCATCTTAAGAATTACCTTGGAACATAATGGGGTTGGAACTAGATGATCTTTAAGGTCCCTTCCAACCTAAACCATTCTATGATACTTTAAGTGTTACCTTTAACATGTATTAAAGATTCAAGGTTTTATGTGCAGCTGGTTTTAATTAGAGCCTTATATCTGCTGAAGCCTGTGGTCTCAGAGGACTTTGTGGTCCACCTCCTGTTAGAAAACTGAACTGTAGCTTTTAGTAGTCCCAACTTTTTCTGGGATGAAGACAAGTACTAAATGTTATTCCTCTGTGAAATGTTTACCCGAATGAATTTCAAACAAATGGATCCGTGTGTGCCCAAGTGTGAAACAGTTCTTCTGGGAAGTACAAGCAAATTACACTGCTCAACTCATTTTGCTGCTGTCCTTGAAAAGAGATAGTGATACCAGGGCATTAATGCTGGTGTTATATCACTGGCTATTTTTAACAGAAGTTTCTAGCTTAATGTCCTCTTCCAAAATTCGTGTGAATTATTTTTCGTCTTCTTCCCTCTACCCCAGCTATCTCAAATTGTCTGTCAAAATGTTCAGCTTCCTTTTCTTTACATGTCTACTTCTGTATTTAAGAGTTAAGAAATGAGCAAAATTTAAGTGTTTAGGAATACAGACTATAGTTTATGACAAGTTGCTATCTGAAGTCACTGGAAGCATATTTAAGGAAGCTGTAGAACGACTGTAGAAGAGTGATTTTTTCAGTGGTGCCCAGAGACAGGACAAGAGGGAACAGGCACAACCTTGAACATAACAAGTTCCACCTAAACACGAGGAGGAACTTCTTTCCTGTGAGGGTGGCAGAGGCCTGGAAGAGGCTGCCCAGGGAGGTGGTGGAGGCTCCTTCTCTGGAGACATTCAAACCCACCTGGACACGTTCCTGTGCAACCTGCTCTGGGTGGCCCTGCTTTGGCAGGGGGTTGGACAAGATGATCTCCAGAGGTCCCTTCCAACCCCATAGCATTCTGTGATTCTGTTCCAGAATTTAAATCTATTTTCTTGCAAAGGGTTTTTCTTTGGCTGGTTATTTTTGTATTGGAGCAGTGTAAGGGAATTGAAAGCATTATTGTGCTATGCAGAGTATTGATTTTTGAATGGTCTCCATTTGTAGCTGCAAATAGTGCTAGGCTTCAGAGTTTTACTCTGATCTGATTTATATTTCAGTGGTGTGTAGAACTTAAAATTACAGCAACTTTGTTAAAGGTTGGAAAGTTTTGGGTTTTTTTCACTTCTTCTGTTCTTGCTTTTTATGTGTGAACTATTTGGGACTAGTTTGACAACACAATGTTTTTTTTTTTTATCCCAATGTTTGAGCAGTTTGAGATTATGAGCAAATTAAAGATTTATGTTTCAGTACTCAATATTATATTTTGAAGAAAAAAAAGTGTATGGGCACTGGGTGACCGTCAGACATGTGTAGCATCAATAGATATGTGAAGCTGTGTACTTCAGAAGTACTTTTTGGAGAAGCTGAGTAGTTGTGCCTTTAACTGAAATTGGTCTTCTGAGTGTCTCCAGAACCAGGACCTGTACAGTGCATTATGCTGAATATGGGAAACACTGTTGTGCATGATCAGCTTCTATATAAGCTTAACAGATACCGAAATGTTAGTGTCAGTAAAGGCTGAAAACTGTCTTATTTTAGATGACTTGTTAAGAGTGATTTATAGGATGAATTTGCTTCATTTGGTAGCTGTCTCTCCAAGTCTTATCACAAGATTTGGATAACTTTCTGGTTTTTGTCATGGAAGCAGTAATACAAAAACTTCATTGTAGACGTCTGGGAATGTGAATAGTCTGGGGTTTATGAGAATAATTGAAAGCACACTGGTGAGCAAGGAAAATGCTTCCTTCAACAAAACTTCAAGAACCAGCAGTTTCCCAAATGGTGTTCTGTTGACTCCGCAGATTTAGCTTCTAATGTAATCCAAGAATGACTCTGGTAAGTCAGGCCAAAGACTCCTATCTGCCAGTGATCCATCTGCAGGCACCCGAGAAGAAAGTAAGGTCAGGACAAACGTGCTGTGATAACTCCTTCAGTTTGACCCCCATGCTGTCAGTAGTCTTACAGTTTAGGGCCAGCTGGAAGCAGATGGTATCTTCAGTGTCTCCCCTGTCACCCTATTTCCCTTCAGCTCTGTCTGGTTTGTTTTAGAACCCACACAGACCTTTGGTTTCTACAGTGTTCTGTTTAATGCTTAATTATGCAAAACTCTGGTTTTGGGCTGGCTGCCTGATAACTTGATGCTTACTAGATCTTGTGTTAGAGGTGAGCCATGGTTTCTTAGCTTCTTGACTGCCAGTCTTCATTTTATGGATCTCTTCTGTGCCCCTCCTCTGCAGTCCTTCATCCCTCCCCATCCCAGGTAAGAGTCCTGGTTTAATTGTTTCTTGCATACGCATGGTTCCACGGTTTATATTGTTCTTGTTTCCGCTTTCGGTGCCTTTCTGTTGTCGTGCTTTCGAGTGGAGGAAGCCATAACAGCACGGATGCAGCATGTGTTTATAGTGGCATATTTCTGTTTGATTTTATTATCTCATCTATTCCATAATTATTGATAATCTTTATTATATCGCTGCTTCCTGAAAATTGACCTAATATATTTGTGAGACCGTCTGCTGTAACAAGCTGTTTCCTGTGCAGAGACGGTGGATTTAGGGTCCACTGTCCAGGGTGTTGTCCCTTCCTCCATGCCTTTTAGTTTTATGGTACTTTCCTTCCTGTGAGACCTCTTCTTAAGAACTATGTGCTAATCTGTTAGCTGAGTTAATTTCTGCAGAAAGTGAGTTCTTTCTAACTCGGAGAGCTGAGTTAGCTCTGCAGTGAGCTCTTACAGGTTTGAGGTACCACTTCTTCTGATAAAAGCTATATTGTCCCTTCTATGCCATAGCTGACTGTGTACTGACTCTACAGATGCCAGAAGAAAGAAGAACCATGGAATCATTTAGGTTGGAAAAGACCTGGAAGATCATCCAATCTAACCGTTAACCTAGCACTGCCAAGTCCACCCCTAAACTATGTCCTTAAGCACCACATCCACAGGTCTCTGAAGTTCCTCCAGGGGTGGTGACTCAACCGCTTCCCTGGGCAGCCTGTTCCAGGGCTTGATAACACTTTCAGTGAAGAAACATTTCCTTGGTCTCTTCTCCCAAGTAACAGGTGACCTATAGGTGACGTGGTTGAGGCACCCTGGAGTATTTGAAAGATGGGTTGACATAGTGTTTAGAGACATGGTTTAGTGATGGTTTTTATCAGAGTTAGGTTGATGGTTGGACTAGATGATCTGAAAGGTCCCTTCCAACCTGGACAGTTCTGTGATTCTATGACAAGAGAAAATGGCCTCAGGTTACACCAGGGGAGGTTTACATTAAATATTAGGAAAAATGTTTACACTGCAAGGGTTATCAAGCATTGGAATGGGCTGCCCAGGGAAGTGGTGGAATCATTATCCCTGGAGGTATTTAAAAGATGGGTAGACAGTGCTTAGCAATACAGTTTAGTGATGGTATTTGTCAGTGCTAGGTTGATGGTTGGACTTGATCTTCAAGATCTTCTCCAATACAGACAATTCTGTGATTATCTGTGAACTGCCATTTTAACTTTTTTTTTGTATCTTGGTTATGTCCAGTTGGGTCATTGTTTGATGTGAACGTAGTTAGTGAGGTGGGTAATTCCGTATTGCAAATTTGCAATTCATACAAGTGATATGAGGAGAAAATAATGATCATGGTATGAAGCATGAAAACGTTGGGAAATTAGGAAGCAAAATATTCCAACTAAGTAACAAGGTTCTTATAGCCCCGCAAGAAGTCTCAGTAGTATTTTCTATAGTAGGTATTGGTCTGTTATGGTATAGTCTGTTTTGGTTAAATAAATGCAACTATGTTATTTTTCGAAGACAAGTGTAATAGAACTTATCCAGGCAATTTAATTATTACTTTGAAATATTCTAAATGTTGTTAACTTCTCATTTATTGCAATTAGTTATTGCATGCCCACTGAAGATGAGGATCGCACTATGAATTTCGTGAAGGAAGATATATATGTTTAAGACCTACAACCTCTGTTTCTGCCTTTTTAAAAATACAAAGAATCCTATTTTCTGGATGAAATTTCACTTTTATAGCTGTGTTTTGTCATAAAAGACCTGGAACCTTAGATGTGTTTTTGTTCTTGATAAAGAGCACTTCATTTTTGTGACCCTGAGATGTTTTTAGTCACGATTCACAACTCATTAAATGATGGAAATATAATAGCGTATTACTCAACTGTAACATGGCAAAACATTACTTTTTTTCCCCAGTTTAATTTCCCGTTCACTTACAATGGGGATAGATTTCCTTAAGTGCAGAGAAAAATAGTGTGACTGATTATTCACCCCCATAAGCATTGCAGGCTTTTTGCTAAGAAGAAAAAACAGGAATGCTTTATTATTATTTCCATGTTTATAGCATACGTGTATGCCATAAATTCGATTTGGGCAAAATCAGGACAATTGTTGTAGGACAGTTGCCTTCCAATATTCTGAAGAGCATGTGAGCAGTCTTTGTATTGAAGTATAATGCCTGGTAAGAGACTTAATTCAGTTTCCTAGGCAACAATCTAATGTTGCAGTAACTTTTTTTCCAAGGTGTTATCCTTTTATGCTTAACCAC